ATGGAAAGGCTTCAGGCCTTTCCTGAGAGAGTCTCCTCCACCACCACCCATCAGTCACAACCAGCAAAGCAAATATCCCCTTTTTAGTCTCTTGAAATCTGGAGCAGGGTAGAAAAGCACAAGGCCAGTGGGCAACAGCAGAGGATGCCAGAAGTGTCCCACTCCCTCCTAATCTGCTTGTATTCTGAGCTCGGGGCTCCAGGGCCCAGGCTGAGCCACAGCTCCCAACATGGGCCACAGTAATGTCAATGTGTATCTTGGAGAGGACTTATCCCCCCAAATCTCCATCAGCCTTACCATTTTTTTGAGATTTTGTCTTTTTAAAAGCTGTGTAAATGCCATTTCATGCTATAACCCACATGCACAGACTGCTTTGCAACCAGGTTCCAACCTCTAGTCCTGGCTTTCATGACTTGTGCTTATAGACTTCTACTAACGAGGACTCTGCAGCCCTTCACCAAGCTACTTCTCTTGGCTTAACCAGGAGTTCACCTGGGTCAGATTTTCTCTCAAAACACAAATAGTCTCTTTAGCTACCAACCATATGGGATGAAGTTTGGCCTATGGCATTGGGCAGTGCTGTAGTCTCCAGTCATCCCCAACTCCTGTGCCATCTATCCTCCACTCTTGCTTCTTAGAGTGCTAAGATGACCATCCCAGACCCTACTCTTTTTATGACCACTGGAGTCTTTTCTAGCCCCTGGTTCCATCATCAAAAGTCCTGTCTCAAGCCCCATTCATTTGGATCCTATCTCCCCAATTGGGGTTTTCTCCTGGGGTCACCTTTTCTTTCCAGAGGACACCAAACCAGAGCTCCAGTGAGTAGACTCCAGTGTAGGAGGTAGGGTTGAGGATAATGGGAGAAATGTTCCTTTTTCAGTGATAGAATATGGTGTCAGGAATATGGGATCATATTTCTCTCCTGCTTGTGACTCCCTGCTCAGCCCCCCTCTGGCTCAACCCTCATCCTGTGTTCCCAAGTGCCAGGCCTACATAGTCTTCTTCCATCTGCCCCCCACCTAGGGAGTTCATTCAGAGTCTTAATCCCTATCTATCCTGGTTATGCAGACATTTGGTTTAAGAGGAGAGCTCAACACTACCTCTGGGCAAGAGACCTCTTAAAAGTCAATGTCAGAATATTCTTCCCTGAGGCCACATAGCAAGGGCCCTTAGGGTAGACAGAGGGCAGACCTCATTACATATGGAGTGTAGCTGATACCTGCTGGTGCCCCTTCACTTTCTCCTTCTTCCTGGGAGCTGCTCTGGCTTGAGGTTGGTGGAACCCTACACGGGCCCCTACCTCATAGGAGCTCTCTGGGCAGGAATTCCCAGGACTGGCCCTTTCCAGCCAAATGGAGAAGGATAGTGCCCAGAGTCCCACTTTTCCCCAAAACTAATTCACTACAGGCTTTAAAGAAGGCTTCAACCTCTCCTTCCGCACCTTTTCTTCCATTTCTACCACCACCACTATTGAAACTCCTTGAGAAATCTCCAGCAAATTGGCCAAGTTAGTATGCTGTTCCCCTGAGGCTCAGCCTTCTTATTAGACCAAGTTTGTTCTTTCCCATCCCCACTCTCTCATTCATCCTGGGGGCTCGGGGGCAAGGGAAGACCGACCGTAGGAAGGTAGACGCTCTCTCTTTAATCATGTGGCCTGGCTGCCCTCAGATTAGAAAGTAATTGAAGATATCTGCCTCACTGCCTGTCTTCCTTTCCTCCTTTTTCCTCTGCATAGCTAGTTACTTTCCTGTTATTATCTAAATATACAGAGTAGGCTGTGTCATTGTATTCATCTTCTTGTGTGAGCCACAGTGAAGACTGCAAGCAAGCCCAGTCACCGTCCTTCCTCACCACTCATTTTAAAAAATATCTAGTGAGCCCAGATTTAGGCACCCTGCATTGTTTCAAACAACCACCTCCTCAGCCTGGTCTCCTTCTTATACCCCACTCTCCCTGAAAAGCTCACACATTGCCTAGAAAGTCACACATCCTTTTATTAATTCTGTTTTATTAACTTAAGGAAAAATAAAGCTTTTCCCAACCTCTGGAATTCTGAGTTTTGGTGTTTTTTTTTTTGTTTTGTTTTGTTTACCGTGGATTAACTGGGACTAATTTTGAAGCTGCTCACCCAGTCCTTCTAGAATCAGAAATCATTTTTTGAAGAGTTGATCTTTATTCATATTTACAACGGATGTTACCAACTGTAAAAGAAAAAGAGCCTCCTAAGTAGCTAATGGGGGAGGGGGGAAGAAATATATGCCTTACGGTCTGAGCTAACGGCTCCCCACTTTCTAGCTAATGAAAGTCAAATCAGGGAATGGATTTAGAAATACACAGGGAATGGGCGGAAATTAGAATGCAAAAAGATCTTTGTGGAGAAGGGTCATCTCTTTCTTGGGCTAGGTAGGACTTGCTGATGAGAACTTTTGCAACTGAATTTGATTTAGAAATTGTGTATGTGTGCGTGTGCTCTACAAACCTACACGTAACACCCATTCTTTTCATCAGAAATGTCGAAATCACAGGTTTTCACACTGATTAGTGGAAACTCTGGTGGGCTATGGAAGGATGCTGGGGGTCAAGTCTCTTTTTATTTACCTCCCTTGGTGGGATCTGGGGGCATCTCTCCCACCCCCACCTGGCCCAGCATAAAATATCACTGAGAGCTGCGTGTGCTCGGGCCCTAGCTCCTTTTTTTTGGCTTTCTCAGCAGGAGCGCGCTCTCCCTCCTTCTCTCTTAGGCTCACCCTCTAGTGGGAGTGGCAGTGTAGGGGTGTAGCATTTCACTCAGGTTTTGGACACTCAGGTTTGGGCACAGCCCGGAGCCCTGTGGGAGCAGGGACATCTGACTTCCTGGGCTTGGGTTCCTGGAGAACCTCATTTGCTTCCTCACACCCTGTCCCCTTCACACCAGGGCTGTTTTATTGTTTTATAACCTTCTTTAGAGCTTCAGTTGCCAAAGATCCCGATGGGGCTATTCTCCAGTTTCTCACTTTACCAAACCCCAAGTCTTGCTGTTTTAAGCAGTTTGGTCACTTGCAAAGGCCCCCCTTTCAGAGCTAAGCAAATTATAGAAACCTCTAGGCATGTGGCTACCTTCACCTTTCTCACTGAGCCCAACCACAACAACACAGAGCCAAGTGTTAACTCCAACTGCCACCCCCATCCCAAGCCCACCCAGCCTCTCCCTAACCACCCTTCTTCTCTTGAAGTTTGAACAAAATCTCAACTAACTCCTGGAATAAGCAAGTAAGAAGTAGCCTTTGACTTTCCTCTTTATTTACCACATCTAGAGCTAGAAAATGATTGAAATAAAGGAGCTGATGGTACTCACAGTGAATGCAGCCAAAGACTCATAAGACATGCCCACCAACCAGTCTTTTCGAAATAGCACTACCTCCCCCACTTAAACAGACTTCTCTGAAAAGATGCTGTTTGAAAAGCCCAGGGTATTGATATGAATATGACCCTCCTTGCATCCTGAATATTTGGAACTATTTAAATGTGAGAGAACAGTTGCAGTGAACCTTTATTTGGTGAATAAAAGTTTAAAGCCGAAGGTTATTTATGGTTGTGCAGAGATGAGACCTGAGTGGCTATTTACGAGCACGTGATTCCAATAAACTTTGTTTTATGGCTTGAGAGTTGACAAGCCAAAATATAATTCCCACCATAAATTAGGTTAAGAGCATACAAGTGCAGATGCTTGGTTCTTGGAGCAGCGATAGGGAAGTGAGAGGCTCCAGCTAGCACCAGGCTCAGAAGGAGACAGTTCTGCTCCCAGTTCCCTTGCCCACTAGGAGAGAAAACCAGTAAGTCACTTATTACTTTTTCCAGGACAACTCCAGGGGTGGGTGAGCTCTCTGCCTTCCTGCCTGGGGTGAGCAGAAGTCCCAGCGAAGTTAATTTTCATTTTAGCCTAAACCTGAATTAACAAATAGAATGGGAATCCTGGTTTCCTCCCCTCCCTTCTGGACATAGAAAGTTGGGAACTGAGGACTCCTATCTCACAAAAGGGACTTACTGTCTGTCTCCTCCTCATAATGGAGCATCTGGCTCAGACGGGAATTAAACAGTGGTAGTCTCTAGGTGGAGAGAGTGGGAGAGCGGAGTTGAGAGGGGGAGGGAGAGAAAGGATGAGGATGGAGATGGCTTTGCCTCTGAGATTTCCCAGGGAAGACTGCCATCCCAGAATAGATGAAAACTTAAACCTGGTCACCAGCCCCAGTGAGGATCACCGCTTTGTGAGATTGCTTTGTGGGCTCTCCAGAAGCAATGCTGACAAAATGCTGTCACATCCAGAGAGCCGCATAACAATCTAAAGCATTGCCATTTACCTTCAAACCCATCGATTTTTTTTTCCTCCTCCTTGGTTATCATTTGGGTCCTCATTTCCCTTGGAAATCGCCCTTTGTTTTGAATTGGAGCAGAAGTGGGACAGCAAGTCCCAGTCATGCCTGGTCCTTCTTTGGAAGGGAGAAGACAGGTTTTGGGGGCGCTGTTTGGGGCTGGGGAACTGGAAACCAATCTGAAACTGGAAAGGGGGGTTGAGAGGCTCCCAGCGCGAGGCAGACGGGGAGCTGGGGCAGGGGACAGATGCAGCGGCTGCCCCAGCCCAGGGGACTTGCGCCCACCCGGCCGCTGGTGCAGAAGGAAACACACAAAGGCCCATTTTCTCCCCGCTTCCCGTTTTCCCACTGGGGAAACCCTGTTCCAGGCAGCCTGAGTCGGGCCAAGCAACCAGTGAGGTTTTGCCCAAGGGTGCAGGGAGTGGGGGAGGTGCCGGGCCAGGCTCTCCGGCGGCCCGGGGCTGCCCTTGAGGACTGCGGGCTCGGGCTCCGCGGAGAACTTGGCGCAGATCCTGGGGGCGGCACCCGAAGCGGGGAGGTCTGGGTATTGGTGGGGTGTCCGGGCCTTGTCATTTTTCTGTGTATCCTCTATCTCTGCTTTATCATCCTGTGGAATTTGAGTGACCCCCCCCCCCGTTTTCCTTGCAACAGGTTCGGGACCAGGAGACTGCGGCCCGTGAGTACCTTCCCGTTTCCTCGCAAGGCGGAGGCGGTGGGGATAGCGGGGAGGTGCCGGCGGGAGGGCGGCCGCGGCTGCCCGGGCCTGGCGGGCGAGGGAAGCTCCCTGGGAGAGGAGGCGCCAAGTTGGGCTCCTGGATGGATGGTTCGGGGCCTAGTTCACAGTCACGCACCCAAGAGAACAGCCGCAGGCGCCCGCCCTCGTCCCCCGGGGCCTCTCCAGGCCTCCCCAGCTCGCACAGGTGCAGCTCCGCGGCGGCAACGCTTCTGCTAAGAGCTTGCAGCTAATTAGCAGCCCGCCCTATTAACAAGTTTCGGCGAGCATCGCTTTCCGCTCGAACCAACCTGCTAGACGCCAGAGCAACGCGACTCTCCTCCGCAGCCCAGCCTAGCTTACCCCGGGCCAGCTTGGCCCAACCTTCTCTCGTCTTGTCTCGTTTTGTTTTTAATAAAAAGAAGAAAGAAAGAAAGGAAGGAAAAACGTAACCCCCCCCCCCGCGGCTGCTGCGGGTGTGTGGAGTTGGTCCGCTTCCGGGAAGGGCTGCGAATTCTGAGCTTTCCGTGGAAATCCCTCCTCGCCCCTCCCCCGGCCCCAGCCTCAGCCCCAGAGCTTTGGGCTCTGGGCTGGGGACTCGGGCTGAGCAAGGAGGGAGGGATGCGACCCTTCTGGTTCACCTCTGCTTCTCTGGAACTGCAGTTGGAGAATTTTCGCACCAGGGCCGCTAGTGTTGCAGGCAAACGTGGTGGTGGTGGTGGTGGTGGTGGTGATGGGGGCAGAGATTCTTGGGGTTCTGGGCTCAGAAGTTTGGATCTTTCTGAGTTGCACGAGCCACGGAAGACAGGTACATTTCTGAGGAGGCCTGTGAAATCGCCAGGAGGACTATCTCATTAAGGTGAAGGTGGTGGCAGGAGAATTAAGGAAGACACAGTGACTCCTCCCTCGTTGCAAAATGGAGATTATTTTCTTTCAATGGGAGGTGGAATGTAGGAGGGCGATAGGAACCAGGCACCCTTACTCCAGAGTGGAAGAAGCTAGGGGTTGGCTCTGGGCCAGGTTTCTTTGCCCTCCAGGGTGGGCAGCCTAGTTGACTTCCTGGGGGCTGTGTTCACCCCCAGATGTAGAGATTCCACCCAGTTCATAGTTCCCCTCTATTAATAAGTCTGGCTCAGATGAAACCGGTTCTGGGCTCCAGGCTGGAAAATCTGGTGTTCCCAGGACACCCTGGTTTTGCCCCCTTCCTGCTGCTGCCCCGGCTCTGGGTGCTTATCTCTGCCAGTGCTCCTCGCTCGCAAACCCACATTCGGCACCCTGTAGCTGAACACAGCACAAAAAGCCCCAGAGATCAAAAGCATTTGTATGGGCAGTTGAGCGGGAGGTGAATATTTAACGCTTTTGTTCATCAATAACTCGTTGGCTTTGACCTGTCTGAACAAGTGGAGCAATAAGGTGAAATGCAGGTCACAGCGTCTAACAAATATGAAAATGTGTACCCTCACCCGGGTCCCCACCCAGCCCAGTAGGCTCTCCCAATTTGTCTGGATAAAGCCTAGGCCCAGTGTCCCCAGGCAGGTGGGTGTGTGGGAACGCTTGGCATTAGGGGAAGTTGCGGGGAGGGGGAACCCCCCCAACTTGAACAAGGGAATTTGGTGTGGAGGCAGCCTTGGACTGTCGTTAGAATTGGCACCCAGGAAATCCCTACAAACTAGCCAAAGCACTGGAACCAAAAGATGGGGGTGGAGTGGGGAGTGTCCAAAGTACAGAGTAGAAACAGGGCGCCAATTTTGCCAGGCTGGGGGGCGGAGGGGAGTTTCCCCGTTCTACCCCCACCAGATCCAGGATAAGGCTAAAACTAATTTTTGGATCATAAGGGAGAAAATCAAAACAATCCAAAAAAATTTTTGTAACGTCTCCGGCCTACGGTGGAAGATCCCAAAGCCCCTCTTGAGCCCCAGCATCCTTCCTTCCGCCCCTGAAATCCATCCAGACTCTTGAGTGTGTCTGTATCCTTGGTGCCCCAAGCTGAGGGGTGAGCCCTAGACGGCGCTGAGGCGCTGGGGCGGGTGCAATTCATGAACTTTTGTACTCTTGTGTGCTGCTGTCTGCAAAGCAAAAATAATGAAACTTTGTGATATGTTTGTAAATGATTTCGAATGACCCCTCGCCCTGCCCTTCACCATTAGCACGCCGACCCTAGCCCAGGGCAGCTCGGTGCCTGCAGCAGTGCCTGCCGCAGGGTCTGCAGCAGCAGGACGCAGAGGCCAGCCCCGCACAGGGCCCAGGAAGGTAAATGTGAGACTTCTTGGAACACTAGCTTTGCCAGCCAACCTGGCTTGCCCCGCGCTGGGGAAAAGAATGGGCGGAGGATATTCTCTTCTCCCTCTTGCATCTTTTCTTCTGCCACTGGGGGGGTATTTGCTCCTTTCAGGAAAATACCACTCGATAAGGGGGTGGGTTATTTGGATCAAGGGGGGTGGGTAATAAAGCCGCCATTTCTGGGATGGATGATTTTTTTTCTTCTTTGCTTTTCTTTCTTTCTTTCCTTCTTAAGAAGACTGTCCTGCCTCCTTGGCTGCTCGGTCACTCCAGCCCTGGTACAAGGATGGGGAACTCGTTGCTGCAAATTTCCACCAAGCTCTTCAAGCTACCTGAACCCTCTCTGAAAGTGCGAGTGGCTGCGTCGGGCGGTGGTGGCTCCGAGGAAGAGGCCGGTGCTGGCTGCGGTCTGGGTACCCACTCTGGGTGGAACCCGGAGGTAGTAACGTTGTCTATATATACCCTGTAGAACCGAATTTGTGTGGTATCCACATAGTCACAGATTCGATTCTAGGGGAATATATGGTCGATGCAAAAACTTCATGTTTCTCCGAAATAGCCATAGTCGGAAGCAGAGGCCAGAGGCAGCCGGCTGCGGGTCAGTTTCCTTTCTGTTTTATTACCTTAGACTCCAGGAGGATGGACTGAGCCTGGTGACATAGTGGAGCCTCTGCATGGAGAAGCCCCTCACCTTGAAACAGAGGCTCCTGTGTAAATCCTTAATTGGTTGCATGAATGCAGGGCCAAAGGGCTAGGTCTTGGGGGGCTGGGGAGCCAGGTGGAAGGCCAGGTAGACCCAGCCCCATGCCCTAAAGGAATATAAGGTGAGGTCAGAGGGTACCCAGTGAGGGGGCTCGCTGGTCCTTGACTGCCGAGTGGGAAGAAGACTGGCTGGGAAGAAGGAGTGCAGGGTCCTTTGGAGCCCATCTGGGTGAGGTGGGGGTGCCATCACCACCTTCCAGGCCCACCTCTCAGCTGCGTAAGCTGGGGGGGGGGAGCTGGTGGCAGTCTTGGCCATACCTGCAAGACTGGCTTTGGCTAAAATCACTGCAGCCTGGGCACTCACAGACAGGTTGGCAGTTACTCATTGCCTGATTTGATTCAGGCCAGCCAGATTGTTGTAACTTTTGGGTGACCCTGGCGAAGACAAAGCCAGGACTCGGCCTTTGTACGACAGAGTCCCCTTCCCGCTGGCTGGCGGGAGCCCTGCCTGCCTGGGGTTCTCTGCCTAACTCAGAGGCTCCCTCACCCACCTGCCTTTGGGTATTCTGTGGCCTGACGGACTTGGAGTTTCATCCCCCCCCCCTTGAACTGTGCCCATTTTGGGGGGCTGTTTGCAGGCAGGGGGCGAGTGGAGAGGGCACTGGAGGTTAACAAAGTCAGTGGCAGACAAAAGCTGGGATGCCCTGCCAGGAGCGAGGGTGCTGGGGATTAGAGAACTATATTAACATCTGGTGGGGGCCCTCAAATGTGCCATGGCGAGTCACTTGATTACACGTATGTTATTTAGTTAAATTTGTGAAAATTATGAGATGCTCACCAACCCGGTGATAAACTCGCTCCCTCGCTATTGGCTGGCCTGGTCACATGGCCGCCAACTTTATTCAGTTGACAGCAAGTAGGAGGGCCCTATGGAAGGAGAAAAAAAGACAACACGAGAAAAATTAGTATTTTCTACCTTCTGAAATTAATGGCCATGAGTTCGTATATGGTGAACTCCAAGTATGTGGACCCCAAGTTCCCTCCGTGCGAGGAGTATTTGCAGGGCGGCTACCTAGGCGAGCAGGGCGCCGACTACTACGGCGGTGGCGTGCAGGGTGCAGACTTCCAGCCCCCGGGGCTCTACCCGCGGCCCGACTTCGGTGAGCAGACCTTCGGAGGCGGCGGCCCCGGGCCGGGCTCCGCGCTGCCCTCGCGGGGTCACGGGCAAGAAGCCAGTGGCCCCGGCGGCCACTACGGAGCCCCAGGAGAGCCGTGCCCCGCGCCCCCCGCGCCCCCGCCCGCGCCCCTGCCCGGCGCCCGGGCCTGCAGCCAGCCGGGCGGCCCCAAGCAGCCGCCCCCCGGGACGGCCCTCAAGCAGCCGGCCGTGGTCTACCCGTGGATGAAGAAGGTGCACGTGAATTCGGGTAAGGCGCCCCGGCCCTCCGTCCCCACCCCAGCCTGGAGGCCTGGGCCCCTGGGGGGTGCGGGTGGGGGGGCGTGGGGGGCTTCCACGGGCGCCGCAATTACTCTCTCCATAAATTTTTATAGCTGAGGGAGCAGGCCGGGACCATGTGGCTGGCTGCCTGGCTGTGGGCGAAAAAGGGGGTGGAGATGGGGGTGGGGTGGGGGAGGACTCCATTTTCAGAGCGGAGGGAAACCGGTGGAGGAGGGGGGGTGGTTTCCAAAGGCTGGGGAATTGTGGGGCTCGCGGCGGGGCCAGGGAGCCGGGAGCACGTTGGGGGATCCCCGCCCGGGGCCTGGGGGAGCCGGCGGGTGGGAGCGGCGCGTGTGCGCGGGGGCGGGGAGCCCCGGGAGCGGCCGAGGCCGCGGCGGCCGGGGCGCGTGCGGGGAGCCGGGGCCTGCCGGCCGGGCGCTGGCCTCACCGCGCTGTCTGTTTTGTCTCGCAGTGAACCCCAACTACACCGGCGGGGAGCCCAAGCGGTCCCGGACGGCCTACACCCGGCAGCAAGTCCTAGAACTGGAAAAGGAATTTCATTTTAACAGGTATCTGACGCGGCGCCGTCGGATTGAAATTGCGCACACCCTGTGTCTGTCCGAGCGCCAGATCAAGATCTGGTTCCAGAACCGGAGGATGAAGTGGAAAAAAGACCACAAGCTGCCCAACACCAAAGGCAGGTCCTCGTCCTCGTCCTCCTCCTCTTCCTCCTCCTGCTCTTCCTCAGCTGCTCCCGGCCAGCACTTGCCTCCGCTGGCCAAGGACCACCACACGGACCTGACGGCCTTATAGAAGTGGGGACCCTGGGCCCATTCCTCCCTGCGCTCCCGGCTGAGCCGAAGCTGCGGGGGCAGGCCGGGCTTGCTGTCACCTCCCTGGGCTCTAAGGTACTGTGGGGTGGACCTGGGACACGCAGGCCGCCCTCGGACTAGGTTAGCATCCTGCCCGAGGGCAGCCCCCTCCCTGGAGCGGGAGGGGATGGGAGGGGGGCGGGATTCTCTCTCTAAGTACATGATCCTATGGCAGGAGCTACTGAGAACCTAAACCTTGGCGAGTTATTAAACATATGAAAATCTCTGCTGTTGGATTTTGAATTTGCAAATGAAGGTTGGATACTTTATCCCAGCGTGAATTGGAACATCCTCCCCCACCCCACCCCTCCAGGGAGCTTTGTGGTTTAATAATGTGGGGGAGTTGAGGCAGAAGGCTGGCCACCCCTGTGCTAGGTGCTTTCAGTGGAGACAGGAGAGCTGGGCCAGGATTTGTGAACTTTCTGGGTTGTCTGTATAATTTCCAGTGTGGAAAAAAAGAATATTTTGCTCCTAGTGGCCCCATGCCCAAAGAAATAAGTCTAAGAAGGAAATGGAAACGGGTTATTTTATGTTTAGATTATATTTGCTTGAATATTTATTTGTGGGGGATGGGGTACAGAAATCACTGACATCTTAATGCCAAAAATCATGAGATGGTGAAAGGGGCTGAGTTTCAGGGAGAAGAATCTGAGATGTGTGGACTAACTTCTGGCTCTAACCAGCATTTTGAACTCCACCCCCTCCCCACTCCCCGGAAATGTGTGTAGGGGGCCCTTAACCCTTTTAGAGGGAAGCAAAGGGTCCACTCAAAGTTGAGTTCTTGAAAATATATTTCCACATGTGCTTTTTTCAGCACTGTGCTTACAACTAGTTCTGGGTGATTAAAGAAAAGGGAAAAGAAAGAAACAAATGGTCCAACATTTTCCTTCTGGGGAAAGAAAACAAAACCTCTATGTTCTGGGTCATTAGGTAATGACTGAATTTTCTGTTCCAACTGGATTCCAAATGCTGGATTCCAAGTAACCCATATAGCAGTATTTTATAGGAATTGGTGTAGGGCCTATATGGGAGAGAGGGGTGTATGGTGGGGAGAAAGTGGGAAAGTGGGGAAATTTTAGCTTTAAAAAAGAGAGAGAAAACTATTTGAATCTAGAAGTCCACAAAACTTGGTCTTAGGGGTTTTTTTCCCCCTGAAGTTTTTATGTTTTAAACAAACGTAAGGAAGTTTTTCTCAACATTAATTAGAAGCAGAAATCGTAGAAGTATAAAAGTTTCAGGCCCTCTTCCTTGCCTTAAGAATAGTGGTTTAAAAACAATCAGTCTCAAACAACAGGAGTGATGTTCTTTAGTCATTTTTCTTATGCCTTGCCTGAGAAGGGTTCAAAGCTCATTTTTCTAAAATGCTGACCCTTAAGGATAAGGGGGAAAGAGTCAAAGGTAATGGCCAGAGTTCATATACTGAAATGAAACAAGACTTTGGAAGTTTAAACCCCAAAGCCTCGGGCTCCAAAGAGAAGCCTCTGGTTGTAGCTCCCAAAAAGTGACAAAAGGGGGTGGTGGGGGGGGGAAGGGATGAGCATGAAAGAGAGATTCAGAACTGGAGTTTTTTTTTTTTTTTAATTTTAACCAGTGCTTCAAAACACTTTAGAAGGTTCAGAGATAATTTTTAAAAAATATATTTAAATGGAGGGAGAAAAAAGACTTTCTCTGCACGCATGTTCTTGGTGTCTCCTGAGAGCTAAGAGCAGGTATTCACTGGAGTCCCTAGGCTGAAATTCCACTTCTCTAAAGTATCTTCCAAGCCTTGGTCTTTTGTATTAGACCCTGGGGACAGCTCTTTGTTCCTCCTTGGGGTGAGCCTGGCTCTCAGACTTGCACATGGCAATACTTGAATATCGCCACGTCGGGATATTAAAGATGGATATTCCTGCATTATTCGCATCATTGTTTCTATGACAAAAAGCAAAGAGTTCATACATAGTCAAGACGTCTTTTTTCTGACGCCCTCACGTTGAGAAGCTGAAAAGGTATTTTACTGAAGTTCGGCTAAATTACAGAATCAGGTTCATCCAGAGGACAAATTTTCTATTCGATTAGCTGTATTTCAGCCGGGAGGACTGACCTCTAAACCCTTAACCTTTTGGACTCTAACTACCCTTCTCTTCTTCTTTTTTTTCCCCCTCTAACATGGAGAGCAGTCTTTGGATGTAGCATTTGAAAAGAGCCGCTATCGTTAGGCAAGTTGGAAAGTTGCTAAGATTCTTTCCTGAAGCCCAAACCTGTGAATATATTGTACCTTCTCCTTGGGAGAGGGGGCGGGGAAAGTATATATTTTCACAACACCCAACTACATGTATATTATAAAGATTATTATATAGATTTCCCCCTTCCCTGAAGTTCAGGTTATTCACCCCAGCTTCAGACCAAATGCCAAAACTATGTAGCAGCCTTCACCCATGCCCCCAGAGGAAAGCCAAGAGGCATGTTTTGGTGAAGAAAACCCAAGCTCCTTCTCAA